ATATATCGCGAATACGTCAAAATTTCGAAGAGTTTCCAAATTCCATCGAAAAATCGCGAAACCGTTAATAACGGATCGAATACGGATCGATAATTAATTAATTAATTGATCATGGAAGTTTTATGGAAGTTCGTTGAATAGGCGATAAGCACGATAAGCGGAGAAACGGAATGATTACGGAACGGGTCGCGTAATATTCCCCCCCCCCCCCTAACTATCGCGGCTTTCCTTTTATTATTAACTCACCCCCTGCATCACGTTTGATGTTCTCTTACAACGATGTAATTTATCTCGTTGCCGTTCCGCGAGAACAACCGCGCCGTTTCATTGACATGCAAAGCGAAACCTCGTGCTTTCTTTATTTTAGACCGACCTAGAGTTGCGCGAGTTATTTCAAACCGGTTGCCACATAACGCGCGGTGCCGCGCGCGCTTCTTGTGTCGCATTCCACTCGATCGTTATGCACTCGTAACCTTCTCTATGGTCACTCTGTCGCAATCGAGTTGCACCAGCCAGAGAAATTTCGCGATTACTGTTATACGCAAATTACGTCGTTACGCTCTGTTGTGATTCCTCCATCTTTCTTTCTCTCTCTCGTGGTTCGTCCTCATTTCAATTTTCGATGATCATTCTTCTTCCTTTTTTTCTTCGTGATCTGTTTTATCTTTTATCTTTTAATTACAATTTCGAAACAACTTTTCTCGATACTCTAATATTCATCCAAATCTCTTTCCATAATCAAATTTCTTTCCATAAAATTTCATCCAAATCGATTCCTCCGTCTATCATAATTTCCGTTCACGTCGATAGAACATCTGATCGAGCGTGATGATTTTCCCAAAAATCTACAAACGAACAAAGCACGTTTACTTAATCGAACGGGCAAGAGGTATAATTTGTAATTGGAATTTTTTTAATATCGTTATTGCCGATCGCTTTGATCTTCGAAGTGAGGATCAATTATAGCTATCAAACGATGATACGAGCTCCGTCTTTTACCGACGTCTTCTTAACGCCAAGCCGTTACCTCCATCGCGAGAGAAGAAGAAGAAGAAGAAGAGGAGGAGGAAGAAGAAGAGGAAGGAGTCGCGGTTGAGGGCTGTGAGCAGGTTCACATTTCGTTCTTTAATTATTCAGGCACGACCTCGCGAAACGCGTATCTCGGGATCGGGAGAAGGTGTATATACGTTCTAATAGAAACTACTCGGCGTTCGTTGCCCCTACGGTCGAGTGATGCCTGGTAAAAACATTCGAGTGCACGTTTCCTGCCTGATATTGCGAATCATTGCGAAACCTTGTGTCCGCTTATAATTTCACCGACCACGATTTTACGAGTCGTTTAATTTGTTCGCGAGCAAAATCACTTTGACAATGATTATGGAAATTTGGCGTCACAGCGTCGCTTGTCTTGTGGAAAAATTTTCGAATCGAAAAAGAAGAAATCCTTGTTGTGTTCTCTTGAACGTCTTGCTCGGTGTCGTGTGTAATATACGATATATTTTATTTTTCGATCGACCAATGATACGAAATGTATATTATTAGGAAACGATCTTCGCTCCATCTTATAATAGAATGTCGATAAATTTCTCTTTATATCTCGTCCCTAATCAGTCGATATGAAAATCGGTGAAAAGCCGATTCGAGGAGAAATTTTTATCGAGGGAAAGAAACATCGATCGAATCAACATTCTTTTTTTTTTTTTTTCTTAAGCTACTTTACAGTAGCCTCTTACTCCTATTATCGATACAACCGCGCTATCGATTTCACGAAACGGAGACAAGAAATTGGCGATGCCATTTCCCGGAACACGCTTCTTCTCTCACTTTTCTCGAGGGGAAATGGAGAGATTCGCTGATTCGGGTCAGCTTCGGTGTTTTGTTGGGGGGAAAAAAAGGAAAAGGAAGATGATATTTCGCGTTTAATCGCGCGATAATCGAAGGGAAACGGAGGAGAAATTCTCGCGACGGCTTCTCCACCGCCTCCTCTCGAAACTATCTCGATGGTCGGTGGCGGTTAGCAAACTAATCCTTTCACGCAATTTACTCGACAGACGGCCGCCTGCCCCCTTGGAAAGTTCCAGATATCCGCGCGAAGACGTTCCATCGGGAAACGCTTTGCATTCGTGTTGCGTTTCGCTGGAATCGCAGTCCGGGAATATTTCGGTGTTTCGAGGAAATAGCATCCTCTCTCTTTCTATGTCTCTCTATCTCTCTTCGCTGTTAGGAAAATTGGTAAAAGGAAATCTCGAGTCTTGTTGCTTGTTTCTTTCAGATTTCTCGTTCGTGTGCTATGATCGGTATGCATTGGTGCAAATTCACTCAAGTAATTTCTCTAACTGATCGAATAAGATTAAATTAACCTTCGATGGGGAATCGATAATTGTTTATCGAAGAATGTAAAGATTAAAGGGAATATTTAAAAAATTCCTTCAATTTGTCATTTCCTCGACTTTCTTCTCGAAGAATCACTTTGATTACAATCAATTTTACATAACATGATCGCTCACTTCTTTAAATATATATATATAATCATCTTCAAACTCAACACAACAAAACTTCAAAATTAAATAAAACGAACAAAGAACGTAGAACGTGACATCTAATAGAGAACTTATTAATAAAATTCAATAAATTTCAGAAAAATATCGACTCGATATTCGGTTCGTCGAATTACTCGAAACGATTCGAAAAATCGTGATAGAAATACCGATCACGATTGAGCAGATGCGACCTTGCCCGCGATTCGCCGAATTGCAAGACAGCCCAATTTCAATCTCTCTTCGAGACGCGCAACCAACGAATCGAAGCCACCTCAAGACCCAGTGTCCCGATTTCGCCCTCCCCGTTATATTACTCTTGGCGGAGGAACGAGGAGGAATCGTGGAATTCCTAGGGTGGCAGGGCTGTCATTCGAGGAATTTCCTTGCGGTCGTCCTTGCGGCGAGGTCCATCGGGCGCGATAGAAAACCGATGCAATTCGACGAGGATCCATCTCCCTCGATCCTTTCTCCTTAAAGGGAACCGGTATATAATCGGTCGAAGACAAAAGCCGTGTCAACGAAACGGCCACCTCTCTTCGCTTTCTAATTGCAAAGAGATGAAATTGCTTAGGTTCTTCGTCGTGTTTTCGAAGCACGATCGTTTCGATGGGATAATTGGAACAGGCTGCAACGATAATTATTTGGTGGATATCGTTGTATAACGGTTTCTCGAGGAAGATTGGAAGAAATATTTCATGTTGTGCGATTTGAAATTGTGGAAAATCTCTGTTTTCCAGCGTCTTGTAACGGGGACAATTATGGAAATTTTATGGAATTTCGAAGGTAAAGGTGTTGTCTGCGTTTGAAGAATCTTATAATGGAAGGAATCATAAAGGTTTCAAGGAGGACGAGAAGTGCAAATAGTTGCAATGGAAGATCGCAAAGTTTTCGACGATATTGTTAAAATTGCGATTCGAAAAGTTGAAAAGTTGGTATTGATAAGAGGGATGAGATGGATTTTTATTCTTTATTTCATCGTCTCGAATTTTTTTCCGCCAATCGTGTATATAAAGTAAGTTTTATATATCGTGGCTAATAAAGCCACTATAAATCAGAATAGTTCCCTCATAAATCCTCGATCTGGGAAACAATGGAATACCCTTTTAGTCACGTTTTGACATCCGTCTAAATAGGACATTATGATCTTTGGAATATGTCACAACTTCTCCACGTTATTGAGAAAGAGGAACTTAGGGGTGACATCTATTGTAGAAATTTATCATGACATTGATTTATTGCCAAGAGAGATCGGTGAACGCTTCTTGGCACCTTCAACCGTTTAAATACAAGCAGATATTACAAACGTCACCAGTAAATTGTTCCAATTGTTATTAAAATCTCGTGGAATAATCTCAAGATATAATTATTTTAAAATATTGAAGTCAACATTCCTCCTATTATTCTCTGTATATATTTATATTTTAATCTATTTCCATGTAATCTTTCGCACACGACAAAATCAAGCATTATCAAAGCAATATTGTATAAACATTATATATTTTCTCTCGTAGCTATATCGATATTTCATAAATCAAAAAGAAAAAAAAAAATCAATCATGATCGTAACACGTTTCTCTCTCTCTCAAATATCACTTCAATATGATGAATCACAAAAATGTTCGTGTCATCAAAACGAACGTGGATTTACATTCTACGTGAGAAACTTGAAGTCTTTGCGATATTAACATCGTCTCTCGTAATAATCTGTCGAGAGTCTATCAAGAGAAAGAAAAAGAAAAAGAGAGAGAGAGAGTGGCTTTGTTTCTCTGAGGACACCTCTCGTAAATCCTGATCCGCCTTTATACTTTTTGCAAGACGAGCTTTTACCTGGTAATCTATCTGAAATATGATTTAAAGAGCTATCAACGATCGTGCGTTATCTGCGGAAAAACAGCTTCAGACGATTGCCGATCTCGGGGACGAAATTTAAAATTCTCTTTGATCCTTCGAATCAAAGATTCGTTGGCGAAATGAAGTTTCGAGAGAGAGAAAAAGAGAAAGAAAAAAAAAAGAAAATACGCAAGAAAGAAAAGAAAGAATTCAAGTTCAACGAGTTGTTCGTTAACGAAGTTGCGAGAAAGCAGAGGGTAATGAGATTCGAGGGTTTCTCCAGACGAAAGAAAGGAAAGAGGCGCGTTTCTCGTACTTGGAGTAATTTATTCCATTAGATTAATCCAAAGGGAGATCGCCATTTTCGATTATGAAGTTATCGTCTGCGGTTATCAGACGGTACATTTCGAATACTTTTATTCCTTGTTAATGTTCCATCGTCTTTCTCTCCTCGAGATTGTACAATTGCGCGGGGGTATTGTATTGAGATTACCGGCTCGCTCGTATTATATCAACACGATAAAGGGATTAAATTTTTCCCACCCCGACTCCCATTGTCGACCAAACGGCGGTAACGAGCGAAAAAGGAGGAAATTTAATTTTCAGATACGAGCTTATTAAATACGCGATTAAACGCGTGAACCCCTAAACCATTTTCCGTATGCGTTTTAAATGCTGGTATTTGTCGTGGCTACATGGTCGTTCCGTTTTTAATTGTTGAAATAATTTTATGCGAGACGCGATCCTTTTATCCGATTTGTATTAAGGCGTTTACTTCCTATCTATGAAATATTGATAAAGTATTATTTTACCTTTATTATTAAACCTTTTATGATGCGAATAAGAATGTAGAAATTAGATACCTAGCATTAAAAATTGTTATATCAATAATTTAATTAAATTTTAAAACAGAAATTTCTACAAATTATCAATTTAGAAACGATATTTAGAAATTCTCGAAACGAAGAATATTTTATAGAGAGAATTTATTCGATTAAAGTGTTATTAATAAAATATTATATCAAATAAAATATTTGTAATGTGAATAAAAAAAAACGTAAGATGAACTTCGCATTGAATATCGTTCTCAATTACTCTAATCTAGTTACTTTTTAATATAGAAATTTCCAATTGAATAAAAGAAATGAGAAATATTTAGGAATATTTAGATATTCTCGAAACGAAGAATATTTTATAGAGAGAATTTATTCGATTAAAGTGTTATTAATAAAGTATTATATCAAATAAAATATTTGTAATGTGAATAAAAAAAACGTAAGATGAACTTCGCATTGAATATTGTTCTCAATAACTCTAATCTAGTTAGAGCTTCTTAATGTAGAAATTTCCAATTGAATAAAAGGAATGAGAAATATTTAAGAATATTTAGATATTCTCGAAACGAAGAGATTAATTTTAATTGATATAAAATTTCACGCGAAGCTTCACTTTCCTTTTCTTTCTCTCGCGTCCCCGTTAAAGCGGCAAAGTAGGATGAATTTACACGGTAATAAGGAAAGCAATCTCTTCATTACACCGTCCGTCGTTCCCATCCCCCTTAGCTGCCATTAATTTCCTGCCATTATCTCGTCGAACAACGTCTTATCCAGTCGGTTGGCCAACGATCCGGCGGACACAGTCACGCAGCCTTTTGTTATCGTTCGATCTCGCGATAACCGTGTTTCAGTTCACCTTGATCGCAGATCCTTACGTCGATACCGTGCTCATGTTATAATGCGTCTAGATCAATTATATCGGCCCGTTACACAGGCTTTGTAGTTTCACGGTGAACAGTTACGTTTCAATGCACCTTCAACTTTCGAGCAATTTGTTCAAAGGTTATTGTTATACATTTTTGGAATCGATAGTAAATTATGGGGTACGAATTTTGTAAGCGGTATTATCAGGTATTCATCGGAGGGGAAAAAATAATGTAGATAATTTTAACTTGTTTGAATAGAAACCGTAAATCAGATTTAATGAGTGAAATCTTTGAAACGAAATACCTTTTTTGATAGTTGATAAACATAATTCCTGAAATTCCGTAGATATAAATCTTTTACAAGGCATTAAAATTAATATTGTGTAATTTAAAAGTTATTTTTATGCATCGACATTAAACTACATAACGATTATTAAATTTTCAAATCAAAATATGGAGTTACGAATTGAACATAATTTTTTTCTCACATTAGCAAACAAAGATTTAATTATAGAATCTTGAATAGGAATGCAGAGAAAAAAATTTGCAGAATGAAAAAGTGAAACCTGATAATTTTATAATTCTTATGAAATAATAAATTATTCCTAAAATATATTTTATAAAATATATATATATGTAAAAGAAACATAACATCTTTTACGTATTAGCACTGCTTGGTTGTGGTGCTAAGTTCTCACTCCTTCGCTTTCTCGCGTGCAATGCCTATTGCGGCGTACACCGAGAAGGATGGGTGACCGACGACACCATATCGCTACCTTTATCCATTTTTACAAGCAAATATTTCCCCTTCTGTTTTTATGTTTTTCTTTAATCCTCTTCTTATTTCTCTTGTATAAATACGTAGTAAAATTATAATTCTATCTCGAATTCTTTTAATTTGTTTATCATACCCTTTGTTTATACACACACCGCTTTTTCTACATTTCAAGGAAATAAGTGGTTCAACGCAAAGGGATATTAAACTCCAACGGCACCATCCACTTGGTATTCGATCTCTGTAGAATTTACCAATCTAAGAGTGCCGTATATTTTTTTTTTCATTGCAAAAATCAATTCCTTTCAAAAAAATATTCACGTTCAACGAAATTTGTAAAATTTTCATTTGAATCGCATCAAATAATTTTCGTTAAATTTTTATTCCAATTTTTTCCCATAATTATCGTCACACGCGATGTATAGAACGTCAGATCGTCACATATTCCACTTACGATTAACAGCTCGCTATAAATAACCGATGATGGAGAGCGTCGGAGTTCGCGTGTCACTGGATACGCGTTACGCGTGATGCACACGACGCGTCGCATCGAAACGTAGCGGAATGGGAATGCAGAGTCGGTCAGAGTTACGTCTCTGGCGCGCACGATCGTCGAACAAATTCCAATGTGTCATTCTGGCCGGTGCACAACAACGCGTGGAAGGTGTTCGCACACGGGGAGCTGGTCGTGTTGTTTCGCGAATGCGATTCACGGAAAACGATTTTTCCCTCGGCCCCTGCCATTTGCGGAAAATTTATTCGCGTCTCGCTTGGCCGCTTGCTTTCGGTTACTCGCTGCATTTAGGAAACTACGATGGAAGCACGAGGAAACGCAAGTTGAACGCTAGCTGGCCGCTGGCCGCTCGCGGTTTATCGTAGATGTGCCGTCACTTTGCCTTAATTATACGTCTCCGCCTCTTAATTGTGAATTGTCTGGTAATTCGGCTCGGCGAGGATGCTCGTTCCTTATTGCAATTAATAATACTGTTAAGTGGGCGGCATTCGACCAAACGGCCGAGAACCGTTCCTGGAATCGTTCGTAACATACTGAATAATTATAGATCCGCCAGAGAGCAGGCTTCGTACCGATTCGAGAACATATAGCGAAAGTATATCGTTCATCCATGCAATATCGCTTTTTTGGTGAATTTGATTTTTAATATATCTGATCCAATATATCTAAATCTTTATCTTTTCTTTTGTAAAAATTAAGTTTGTTTTCGTAGTTACGACTCGTGTTTGCTTTGATAATTCTCTGATAAGAGGAATTATCCAAATAATGATATCGATGATTGACGTCAATTCATTGATCGTCATTTTATAATAGAAGATAGATCACAACCTTACCCTTCAAGTTTGATACAAATAATAAACGTTTTAATTTATATCTAATTATATCATCAAACTCTGATTGATCTTACATGTCGGTGAAATTATATACATATATAAATATAATATCTAAATAGAAACTCCTGCTTCTTCTCAACGGATTGACCTTAATTCGCATCGATCGGATGGATCGGCTCGGTCTATACCTGACTTTAATATTACCGACTGACCGATCAACGGAAGTGGTTACTTTGACCATTGAACTGAGTCGTAACGCAGCCTTTCCGTGACTTACTCGAGATTACGGCACACGTGAGTATATCGAGTGAGGAGTATTTAAAACAGTTGTCCCTACGTTCGTACGGACACAATTACGCGTTGCAACGGACCCGTGTCGAGGCCACATTTGGCGGTGGACGCGAGAGGAACGGCTGGAGAACAGACGACGGACACTGGGCGAGTGCCAATAATCGCATCTCTTGGCCGTAGTTTCGACTATACAGGGTGATTCTCTCGCCCCGTCGACTTGAGAGCAACCGTCGCCGCTCGAATATACCTCGGCGATTGGTTCGCAGTTTGTAACATCTGCGCGTCAACACAAATACAATCTTCCTCAATAATTTGTTATCATGATTCAATGGATGACGAAGCAAGCAATGTTTTCGCATCGATAGATAATTTGTGTATTAAATGTATGCCGCGATAATTCTTTTTAATCCAGTCTGAATCATCCTGTAGCTTTGAGACGCGCGCGTGGTTGGTTAAACGCCGCGATCGAGTAAAAGATGAGCGGTGGTGTTAGCAAACACCGTTCTATTTTCCGAATTAAATTCGAATTTCACCGTGGCAGCCGTTTCGGAGGGCGGAGATTTCTCTCGAAACGTGCCAACAGCTGGCCCTCCCCCCCCCCTCTCCCCCTCTCCTTTGTTTCCCCAAGAGACGAGAGACGATTTGCACGCGAGCAGAGAAAAGAAATTCGCTTAACCATATACCGGGGAGAGGGTTGTGCGTTTCTCATATTTCAGTCTTCCGTTGTGACAGCGGCTAGACGGGGCCGAAACGATGGTAGATTCGCGAGTCGGTTTAAATTAGGGAGTCTAGACGCCTCGGAAATACCACGTGGACCGCGTCATGCTACATCCACCGACTTCCAATTCGAACGTTCGCGCCTCCGTGCTTCCGTCGATCTGTATCTGTGTTGGATCTAACTGGTGTGAAAATTTTCCTGTACAAAATCCTGTTTAAATTTTTAGCCCGTGTTCGTTTCGTTTCTTTGTCTATTTGCGAAAGAATGGGGAATTTTAATATTCTTCAAAGTTTAGTTGAAAGAAGGTTTAGGAAACTAGGGGAAACTTTTTGCAAAATCGGTTTATCCTACGTTGGATTAAAAACTGGGAACCGGAACCGTCGCTGTTTCTCTAATTATTTGCCGGGATTTTTAATTAATTCTTGCATCGAAATTCCATTAACAAGTGGAATAACTGGATGCGTCTAAATAAATCTCCAGCTTTTAAGATTGCGTGAAAATGAATTTGATTTCGCCGGAAGTTTGTAAAGAAACGTTTGTAAATAAAGAATCTATCTAATCTAAATGCAACTTGTTTAATAAAGTTTTCAACTGACTTTTATTTCCTATAATAAATTTTCTAAATCATTTCATAAAATGATTCAAGTTATTTCGCCTTCCTATATACTATTTATTATAAAACCTAGAAGGCCTAATTAAATACCTGTAATTATTTTATTTTACCCATTTTATTTCACGCTTAATAGTTTGCAACCAGGAAGTTGATAAAATAAATTAAATTGAATATTCCTCCAGCAGAGGAACAATTTATTCCACCCTATACTTGTGCAACCATGGACCATCCTGTTGCAACAGCCGGTTCGAGGCCCTTCGTAAATTCATTAATGAAAAATTACGACGAAGGCAGTATAGTAGCTTCACTTTCCCCCATTCTCGACTGGCGCAGCGTTGTCTCGTGGTCGGTGATACCTATCGGCGTCGTGTGGCGGCGCCATGGTCGCATGGCCGCCCTCAGTGTTCGCGAGCCTCGCTCGGTGTGTGTTTCGTGGCGCGGTTGTCGTCGTCGTTGTTGCCCGTTCATCTGGTCTCCGTTTGTTTTTACATGTTACATCGGTGCAGTGGTAATTAATTCCGTCGCGAATCCGTCCCCACGCGAATCAACCAATTTGCCGTGTATACCGCGTCCTCGCGAATTCGTCAGTTTTTTCACGAACATCTCAACGCGAGACGTTTCTCGCGTTTGTGTCTCTCTCTCTTGTGCGCGACAGCGAGAGAGCGTGTGTGTCAACTTTCGTGTGCGTACTTCCCCGTCGACGTCGGTGTCGCCGTTGTATTTCTTCGTCGTCGTAGTCGTGATCGTGCTCGTCGTCGTCGTCGTCGTCGTCGTCGTCTTCGTCTTTTTCTTCTCTCGTGCTAAGTCCGCAGTTCGTGGCATCGTGCCTCTCCACAATTGTGCCTGCATCGCTCTGTCTCTCTTCTACGTGCCTCTGTGCGTACGCGCGTAGTATGTGCTTCTGTGTTTATAATAGTTGCGTCCTTTCTCTCCGTCTCGCTCTCCTCTCACCTGCAGCTAGAAGGCACACAGGTGTCCCGTGAAGGAGTGGCGACGCCTGCCGTGAATCGTCACCGCTGTGATATTACGTCGAGAGGAGCTCTCGTGACTCCTCCATCGAATCCTGCCATCCGAAAACAGCCATCCACACTGCCCTGGAATTGTCAAGTACGTGTGTCCTACGCCACGTCGAAATATGTGTGCTCTGTGCGTCCACGAAATACGTCTCTACCGGCTCCACTTTTGACCACCATGCTGCGCGCTGACATTATACTCCGTTTCACCGATAAAACCGAATGCTTTCTGCGTGCGCTGTAACCCGTTCCGTATGTATGATTACGTTTGGCAGTCGGTATACGTGCCGGATGTTTGAGGTTACTCGTGTAAGCCGGCTTCGTTCCTCGAGCTTCGTGTATATATAACGTATATATACTAGCCTCGTTTATTGTACTTTACGTAACCATGAATGTCGTTTTATTTGCACCATAATCGTAAGATATTTTTCTTCCGCGCCAATACTATCGTATCTCGACCTTCGGCGTCTCGCCGCGTTTTCAAATGGGATGGGAAGTTAGGTTAGGTCGCTCCGTTCTGAGAAACGTTATTTCAACGCGTAAGATAATCTCGTTTCTTCGCGACTAAAATATTTTTTTGCATGGAATACATTCATCCATATATCGTGCGTTCATGTACGTGCAAATTGACATATCAATTGATTGTCAATTTATTAACAGTCATCGCGATCGATCTTAAACATAAAACTCGAAAGTCACGATCGAAATATCATATCGATTATATCCTCATTTACCGAATAATCGATAATCGACAGAGAGAAATCGGTGGACCGCGATGAGACGTTTCGTTGGACGATAGCACACAACAATCGTTCGTGTGGCCTCACCCGAACGATACAATGCACGCCATTCATGACAGCCAGTGCCATTAGCGAGAGAGTTAACGTTTTACCCCGTTCCTATTGCGCAGGACGATTTCGTGGAGCGTCGACCGGAGCCACGGAGTGTCTCGTGGCCATCGCGAGAGAAAAAAAAAGCGCGGAAGGCTCGCGTTCTCTTCCTTCCGTTATAAATAAAGACCATCGAACCGACTTTCAAGAGTCGCCCTCTTCGTGCCGGCCATTTTTCATACATAGAGTGCCATAATCGTCCAAAACGTTTAATAAGAGAAATTTTTGCCAAATCATCGACACCATTGAAATTTTCAAACCGATCAAGTGATACGGAAATCCTGCCATCTTGAATATCTGTTATACCTTTTTTTATCTAGCAATAATTAAAGATAAAGGGGAAAGAAGGAAATTTTTACAAAAAAGTGCAAGTGACAATCAAGATCGAATAATTTCTATCGTTATCTATCTATTGAAATCTACTGAAATCGCGTAAAATCAAGGGATAATCGGGTGCAGCGAGCACGGTAGCCGCTGCCAGAAGCGCATAGTGGATCCCATAAATTTTCCTCGGCGATCGTGAACGCACTAAACGCCGAGCCGTGGAGCTGCCTCGAAGTAACAAGCGACGCGAGCCGACCTCTCGACCGGGCAGTCGTCAGGATGTTTCAGCTGGCCAGCAGCCGGTAGCTTCGTTGCCGGGCCTGGTTGCGATCCTCAGTCCTTGGAGGCGGAAAAAGCGGGGCCGTTTCAAGGATCGGCCGTCGACGATGTCCATACGCGTGAGCGGCGTCTATTTGGTGCCAAGCCCGGCGGCCAACAACGAGCCGGCCAATGAAAAACCGAGTAACCTGTCGGTGGAGAACAATCTTCACCAACAGCATCATCATCATCATCATCACGCGGCGAAGACCGTGACGATCGTCGCCGGACCACAGAGGAGCAACAGCCTGGATTATTTAAATTTCGAGGAAAAAAGGCAGATCATCGCGTCG